AAAAATGCACGAAAACACACGGGCGGCTGTACACCGCGGTCCAACTACTATAGTATATTGGGGTTATACATTCATCAGCTTCAATCGCAGTAGGGGTTGGTCAGTCGCGGTGGTCGCGGTGGTAGCAGCAACATCCAATGTACGGCTACTACCGTGAAAATTAGGAGGTTGATGATGGTGATGACAGTGCTAATCCTGACACTTCTGTTGCTTCATTTGTGCTGCTAACACTCGTTTGAGATTGAGCTGGCCAGACATTTTTACTGATTCTCAAAATGCATGGCCTTTCTCGCGTACTTCCACCACCGCTTTTCCGACTTCGTCCATGACCCATGAGACTGGCTGCTGGGGGCTGACGTCTGGGGCAGCCCGCACGATGTCCACCAGTACCTCTTCACCGGTGTCCATACCTGTGCTGTTTTGATGGACCAAGCTTCCACGATCTCTCAAGACAGCTTCCTGTACAGCCTGTGCGACTACGGAAATACCAGTAGCTTTGCAACCAGCCCCGAATTGAGTGGCTAATTTTTTGAAAGGGCCGTATGAAGGTCTGCCGGCTTGCTCCTTTGCTGGTGAAGTAGCTGCTGTAGAGCATGATGGATTATACTCAAGAAACATGAGGGAACCATGTTCATCTCTCATATCTACACAGAACCCTGTGATGTGAAAAGCTGAAAATTCAGCCCTAAACCCTAAATAGTAGTTTCCATTTTCTTTTCCATTATCCCAATATAACCCCTAATATAATATAATATACCCCCAAATAAACCTAAAATAGTAGTGGCCCTAAACCCTAAACCCTTGTGAGCCATAGTCTAAACTCCTAGTATCCCCCTTCATAACCCCTATGGTAGTTCCCTATATAATCCCCTACATAACCCCCTTTAAGGAGTTTAGACTATGGCTCTTGTGGCGATACCTGGGCCCTTCTTGCGGCCGCGGCTCGCATCACCCGCGCCCTGGGAGGCTCCGAGATGCTGTCCACGGCATAGATTTTCGTCATCACTGGAGGCTGACCTTGTCTCCGTACTATTATTGGGATAATGGAAAAGAAAATGGAAAAGAAAATGGAAACTACTATAGTATATTGGGGTTACATTGGGTTTGTTGGGTTGTATTGGGTTTGTTGGGGTATATGGGGGTTTCCCAAAATTAGGGGTACCTACAAAATGGAGAATCAAATGCAAAAGAAAATGGAAAATGACATGGAAACTGGGATTATATAGGGGATTATAAGGGTTATATAGGGGTTATAATGGGATAATGGAAAATAAAATGGAAACTACTATTTAGGGTTTAGGGATTAGGGTTTAGGGTTTCCCAAAATTAGAGGTACCATTTAGGGGGTCCAAGAATAAGGACTATAGTATTTTGGGGTCTATATTGGGGCGTCATCACTGGAGGCTGACCTTGTCTCCGTGTAAGTAAGATGGAAACTACTATTTACCAGGGATTACATAGGGTTGAGGGTTTAGGGGGTATATCTATTTTAATCTTATTATTACTGTTATTAATATTGTTATTTCTATCATTATCATTGTATTGCTATGTTCTTACTACTGTTACTAGTACTACTACCACTATTAATATTTTTATTAGTATTACTGTTAAGCAACACGCCCAGGCACCGTTGGATAGAGTGATCTCCACCTGCCAAAAAAAGAGGCGCATGTGAGGTAGTTAAGTTGTCTTTTCCTATCACTTGGTGCTAGCCTCTGCCAAATCAACATGAGAAAGGCCCACATGCAGTTTATGGACACGTCTGATCTCTCACTCCAGGATATCCAGGATTACAAATGCAGCTTGCGCTTCAGCATCAAGGGTTGAACTTTTAGCTCAAATCCTAGTTCAAACCTGCATGCAACTCGGGCCTATCATAGAACTCAAGCCACCTCTTGAGCGTGTCGGTTGGTTGAATCCTACACAGCATTAGCTTAGTGAATTGGGTGAAGAAGATTCCACCTAAGACATGTGCTGTCTCAAGCTTTAAACATTAAACAAAGCTCAGACTGGAAATGACAAGCCGGATACCTCGTCGCCAGACTCGGGCAGCGAGGCTTCAGGCATGATGCGCAGCAGGGGCCGCTCCTAGGGCGTGCAAGATCAAAGCCCTTCTTGATAGCTCTAGATGGTGGTGTCTGCCGGCGTCGCTGGTGGCCAAGGTATGCCAGGGTCTGTTATTGCGCAATAGCAGCAGTACATGCGGGTGCTGCTATTGCAGTCTGAGCATTGTCTTTGCTGCAAAGTGTCTGGTTCTGCTTGTTTGGTGGGCCTGCTATACACGGTGTATGCGGGAGTGTGCTTCCTTGCTGCAGCAGAACATGCATGCTTCTAGCAACACTACGTATTTGTGCGGCCTACTTCACAACACACCTAACTCACCTAACCACACGGTCTATGTGACCTCGCTTTCTTTGCAGTTTTCTATACCTTGTTAAAGCATGCTCGAGCTACGCAAAAATCAAGGCATGCATGCCAACATGAGCCTACTCTTGAGAGTTCAGGACGCCTGGTTTGGCGATTCCAATAACAGGGGTCTAGTGCTGAAGCGTGAGAGGCCCTCATACCATATCTGCGTTCGGGCTGGGGGTGTGATTCCGGCACCAGGCGCATCATGGGTCCAACATGTGAGAATGAAAGCTGGTCGGGGAGTGGACGTTTTGGGCAATAGCACATGGTGGTTGCGTAGCAAAACCGCAGTGCATTGAGCGAAATGGAGCTTGAATGACTGGGGCGGGCAAAAATAATGGGGAAGATCAAACAACCGACTGCAATCCTGCCGCTAGCTCCCTTCCTGTGGCATCCAACTAAAGCAAACAGACACGTAAACCACTTCTCTCTGTCAAATGTAACAATGTTCGAAGAATCAGCTCTCGTGGGCTGCCTCTGCAATAAATCCTGTCGTGTTGGGGTACTTTTTTAGACTTTCAGGATGCGGTAGCCTCAAAAAACAGATGTAGCCGTGCGTCCAGAGCAAGCAGCTGCGCCGTGCCATTTACAATGGCTCCTCCTGCGCGTATCTGTAGTCATTATGGCCGGGTACGAATGGTAACGATAATGATGGTAACAACAATCGTACACTAGAAATCCAAATTTAGCGCTGCCAGTTTGAAAGAAACGGGCACGTGCTGAAATTCGGGGCCCCCAGTCTTATCAGCAAGGCCACGCATGCAAGACTCTAAGGCGATGCCAAACATCCGCCTTCCCAAACGATGTCCTCGCAAAAACACTTCTAAAAAGCTGTCCAGCAGTATCGACCAGCCTTTTGTCAAAACCCTACACCCTTCATTTCGCAAGCCGTCCCTGCGTATGCCTGAAAACCCCAAAACAAAACAAACAAGCACACATCATCTTACATGAATGAACCCACTGCGGGGCCTGCATCTTGAACCAAGTCCACCGCATCAAGGGTGGCATCCTTTCAAGGAGCTGGGGTTCGGATTTAGGAGATCATTGGAAGTATATGGGCTCCCTTGATTTTAGGGAGCCGCTACAACAAGGAAAAAGTGGTTGGGAGTGACTGAATTGACCAGGCTTTTTGGAGATGCCTGTCTGGATCTTTATGGCATTGTATCGTGATTACATACAGGCACGCAGGACTTCATCCGCATCCTATCCAGATCTCGGTGTTACACCATTTTCAAATGTTCGCCCCAAATTTGTATCGCACACCCTGCGGCGGTCTAAACCCCGAAGCCCGCTTTTTGATGGTCTATGTTCCGCTGGCCACAGGGGGACTGCATTTTTCACATTTGGGATTCAAAGTATTGAATGGACAGAGAGCCACAAGCCAGAGCTGAATCCTGAACCCTGCTAACTCGATGGTTGCTGTTTCTCCCATCCTTCAAGGCGCCCCAGGCACCCTTCTCACGGAAGTCGTCAATGGTGCCCGATATCTCCTGCATCAATGGTTTTCGCGCTGCTGTAGGCGTAGCCTGTAAGACCATGATGGAGGCAAAGCTTAAGATGTTGAGAATCAAAGCATATAAGAGAGTCGACGACCTGAGTTGTCAGCAACAATTGGGTAGTAAAGTCACGTCAACTGCAGGACCCAACCAGTACTACATCTTTTACGTTGAGCAGAAAACGACGAGATGTTGCTCTATTTTACTGTTGCGTTGCCCCAAGTGGGCTCCAGTAACCCGCCGTTTGCTCAAGCAGCGGATTGGGAGTTCGGCCTTGGGACGATGTCGTAGAGGCTGAATTCTTCCATGAACAGAACAGGCCAGGATTGATGAAATGCCCACATGCTGGCCGTTCCAGGCGTAATCTTCATTCCGGGGGGAGTTCTTTCTTTCTCGGAGTTGATCGCATGGTGCTCATACATATCAACAGTAATAACACCAATAATGATCATACTGACAATAATAATACAAATGATAATCACGATGGTGCTCCTCTCGCAGCGCATTCCAAAGATACGCCATGACCTGGCCATTGGAGACAGTGGGGGGGTTCAGAAGCTTGCGGGTCCCGTCTGCGGAGTCCTTAAAATAATGACAACCTGATAGGATCCACGAGCCCGAATGCAGATGCGCGACGTCTACTTCCATCCTCTCCTCTCCTCTCCTCTCCCCTATCCTCTCCTCCATCCCCTCCTCCTCTCTCGTCCATCCTCTCCTCCATCTCCTCTCCCTTCTCCCCTCTCGCCTCTCCCCTTCTCCTTTCTCCTCTCCCATCTCCCCTTTCTCCTCTCTCCTCTCACACTGTTGAGACGCGAGGACCAAGAGCAAGTCCAAAAGTGACGACAATTCTGCGCTTCGCGACACGGACCCCCCCCAGATCCCTGTGACTGTTGACACGTTTTAGACGCGAGGACAAGGAGCAAGTCCGAAAGTGACGACAATTCTGCATTTCGCGACCAGGACCTCGTTTCACGACTGCCAAGTGTACGCGACACTCGCGGACGCTTGCAAACGCTTTGCGAACGCTTTGCGAACACAAACGCAACGACTTGTGGTCACCTCCTGGACCCTTGGATCCCGACCGTAAAACGGGAACCCTTCTGCAGAGCATTCGGGCAAAATGACCATAGTACTTTGGGTTACATGAGGGATATAAGGGATCCCGGCCAAGGTTGAGATCTGTTTTTGGCAGATCTCAAGCCATCAGATAAAGGCGACAGCAAACATCATGATTGGTCTTTCTTAGGCTGTGCTGGACGCATATGATACTTCCCCAGCCCCGACCGCCTTACCTTTGACCCCTTGGTTGCAGGCTAGCTGCTTTGCGGTTTGGTCAAGGGACAAAAAACTATTGAAGAAACAAAGCAACTTGAGCAGTGAACAGCTTGTCAAGAAAGAATCTCTCGCAGGCAGCGAGCTCGTAGCTTCTGGTAAGCTGCAGGCTAGCACATCATCAAGCAGAAGCATGCGGCGATAGCAACAGGTCTTTTTCTGGGATCCTGCCATTGACCTGCCAGAGAGGTCTTCGGGTGACAACTTTGGTCATCCCATCTGCAAGGTCACAGGGTCGCACAGCCGCGCACTGAGCTTAGACAATGGCTGTCTCAGCGAAACTGCTTGAGCACTGCCTGGTCTTCGTTGCACATGAATCGTGAGACAGGCTGGTGCTTGGGCCACATCATTCTGCCTTTCCCTGCTTCTGCTTCAGCCGCTCCAACTGTGCTTTGACAGTGTTTTGGCACTCATCCCGCATGACCGCGGTGACTTTGGCTTCCACACTTTCAGGTCCAGAAAGCTCACAGACCCAGTTCCGGAAGCTTCCTGAGCATTCAGTTGCGGGAGGCATGCGAGAGCAGCTTGTCAAACGTAATCCCAAGCTGTGTGAAGACTGAAGTATCCACGCACTCTGCGACTGCGCGGCGTTTGCAGGCTGCATAAGCTGCAGGAGGGGTTGAAGCCAAGCCCAGTGCACGTTCTGCTGCTATCCTTTGCAGGTCCGGCACTTCGCAGACCTCGTCAACGAGTCCTTGTCCAGGGCAGCTGTCTACAACGCAAGCAAGGTCATCTCACGTTTGCTTGACTCGAAGCAATTCTTGATCCCAGTAGTCCGACTTTCGCTGCACTGGGAGCATCTAACAGCGTGCCCTGTAGCAGCATTCGCTCCGCCTGCCCCAACATGAAATCTAGTCCGAACTAGACTGGATGCAACTTCACATCAAAGGAGAAAGCTCAACTGCAGAGTAGCTGCAAGAATTCCATGCACATATCTGCTTTCGACATTCTTGTGGTGGCAGCCTCCCGGAAACCCACCACTCGCTCGAGCAACGCCTGTCAACGCCCAACATCAGCCAAATAGTGTTGCAAAGTTAATTAACCTGGGACCTGCTCCTGCCTAAGCCCAGGTCTCAAAGCAAAGCGCCTGCATCCATCGCGAGGGCTGAACTCCTGCGTGCTTTCTAGGCAATGGAGGCTACGGGAAAGGACACAGCACTTTGCAAAGTACAGCAACCGGCTGGCCTTCCTCGATCAAAAAAGCATGTCAGACACACATCGCTCCTATCGCAGCTTCGTTTAAGCCGATGATCGCGCGAGGGTTGGAGATCATCACGCGGTGATCGCAGCTGAGCGCCATCACACAACCTTTGGGCCAGGATTTACTCAGGGAGTGCTCCGAGACTTTGGGGGTGGAGTTTCTCAGTACCCTCAAACGCAGCAGCCCTCCTTTCTTCGAAGATACAAGTTCTGTTTGCAACAAAGCAAAGCACCCTACTGATGCCATCATCACTTGTGGCTTCCCGACTGTTTTGAGGGGTGCTAGAAGCTACGTTGATCGAAGACTGATGCAGCCATTTGGAGCCAGGGAGCCCCAAGCTGGGCTGGAGCCATTGATGGCCGCAACTGTGGGCAAAGGATACAGATAAAGAGACTTCCAGGTCTCCTCCATCTCGGTCCAAAAGCTGATCAACCTCAGCGAACATCCAAATTCGCGCCAGCATGTGTATCACTGCTAGAAAGAATACTCATATAGTACTAAGTTAGTAGTAATAATGCTACGCATCATGACCGCGCGTCTGCAATTCTGGCAAGTGAGGGCAAAAGCAACTTCCAAGGTTTGAGGGAGACGCTCACTGAGCTCAGGCCCATGCGCTACACGTTACCACACCATCGACTCCATTTCTTCAAGTCGACCCGCCCAGCGTTTCACAAGAAGAAAACTTTGTCCCTCAAGATAGGCTCTACAGGGACTCTACCCATCTTTCCTCGCACAACTACCGATGTAGGCCACGGACTCTGAGCGCGGTTGCGTGAAGGTGGTGAGGTCCAGTCCACCACAGAAGCATTTCAGATTGCTGGTCAGAACAACGGCCTCAGAGCTCAGCAGGGTGTCCCTCATGTAACCTAAAAAACGGTCATCCATACCCAAATTCACGAATTAAAATCCATGTTCACCACAAAAAGACCTTTGATCAGGTGTAGACAGGCGCATCGTGTTTCTTGGCTAGGCTTCGGGCTTTTGCCTCGTGCTGTACGTCTTGCAGACTAGAGCGGAGGGTCTGAAGCAGCCTGGGCTAGCCAAGATTTGGTCAATCTGCTAAGTGGCTTGCGGTCATGGTAGTGTCATGATTCAGGACGGCTCACAACAGGAGTTGCCCTGCAAAAAAGCCTTCTCGATACTGATACCACTGTTTTGCGGAGTGAGACTGGACACACGCATCATAAGCTTCACTCGTTAAGGCGCCAAATCTCCCATTGCTTGGATCTTAAGTACGTCTTTGTGCTCTCACTCTGCGGCTCCGGCACGCTTTGTTGAACGCATTGACTGGGGCTCTGCTCATCGTCAGGGTTGCAACCCCCTGCGCCGTGATGCTGACATCGATGCTCCGTCGCAACAGGCTGCGAAGCATGCCCTACGGGAGCCAGGCGGCTTCTGCTGCGGCTTCTGAACAAACTGCTGCGGTGGGAGCGAGATGGAACAGGACCGATCACAGATCGATTCAAGGATTTGTCGAAGCAGGTCCTGGTCACACTGAATTATTCCAGGATGATCCCAATTCCAGTCGTAACCTAAGCCCGTGCACCTCCAATTGCAAGCCTCAACCCTCTTTGCAGGAACTACCACATATCCATGCAAATGCTTTACATACCACGCGGGCTATCCAGCTACTCCAGGAGGACTACAAGCGTACCGAAGACTGCACCAAGGCAATTTCTGGGCGCGCTGCTACTGCCACAACTGCTGGGCCTTGGCTGAACAAACAGCATTCTGTACAAGAAGAGCTGGGTATAGAGATGAATTGCATGCCAGACCTCCTGCCAGCTAAGACACCTAAGAAACGAAGAGCTGCACGTTCTGGGATTATTTGGCTGGGCTGTGCAAGCCCTCAGAATCATAGTTCTGGTTTTCAAGATTCCCCAAAGCTCTGAAATAAAGGCCTAGTGGTTTCTGGGTTTCGGATGCTCATCATGCAGCCTGGACAGACACATGGCCGTGCTGAGTGAGCCCTAAGCCCCCTGCGGAGTCTCGAACCCCTCTTCGAAATCCTCGCCCGCCTGCGTGTGAAGTACCCTCTGGTGGCAGCTTCATGAGACCACCCACGGAAGAGAAAGAAGCAAGAAACTGCCATGATCTTCGAACAATAGCTGCCGGGGTACAGTACAAACCAACACTGGCAGCATGCAATTATTGCGCTCTTTCTCCCAGAAGGTCGTCCAAGGCTGGAAGTTCTGCCAAAGCCTAAGGGCCTGAGTTGAATCTTAGATAGCAAGCCTATGCAAGCCCACAGCCCTGACTCTGCTGTTACCATCAGGATCTCAATCCTGAATCACCTTTTCGGCCTACATCCGCAGCTACGACAACATGCTGCCATCAATGGAACCACTTGGGATTTCGAAAGGGATGCCTTTTAATTTGGACAAGCACCTTTAAGCAGACCACGAGTTTGAGAGACACTCTGTTCGACCTGGTGCTCAGTAGCCAATGCCTTAATGAATCTTGAAAGTATACATCCATTTTTAAAAGGTTGCATTCCCCCATGCCCTGCTGAGGGAAGGACTTCCGTCGGCCTTTGAACTGGCTCCGGCCTCAAAGAGACCAGAAGGGACTATATCCCCAATATAACCCCTATCTAACCCCAGCTTCCATTTCATTTTCCATTTTCTTTTCCATTTGATTCTCCAATTATTGGGTACCATGGTATCCTAAACCCTAAACCCTAAACCACGGTATCCCAAACCCTAAACCCTAAACCCTAAATCCTGAAAAACCTAAACCCTAAACCCTAAACCATGGTATCCTAAACCCTAAACCCTAGGCAGGTCCCAAGGATACACGAGAAAAGAGGGCGCTCTACAGATGACCTTGACTGGGTTGATGTTAAGGAACTTAAATTAAGTTACAATAATGGTTTAGGGTTTAGGGTTTAGGGTTGGGTATATATAGTACGTAATAGGGTTTCCCCAATATAGTAACTTAAATTAAGTTCCTTTCCAATATGCACCCCAACACGTTAATCCTTATTATGATGGGGAGCCCTAAAACAAAGACCCTAATGAACGGAAAACCATATCCTACAAACCCACTGTATCCAAAGTTGTAAAAGGAATCTAGGACCATAGTATAGGTAACTATCCCCATATATCCCCATAAACGCTTAAATAATCCAATCTTTCCGCTTGAATCTCCATAACAAGGGTAACATCCACCCCTTACGGGACCCTACATGGTAGTTTCCCAAAACCAGGGGACCCCAATATAGACCCCAGACCCCAAAAACGGCACCCCAAATTCAAGGGATCTCCACCTTGGGATCCTAAGGAGGAGGACGACGACTACTACGACGACTACTACTGCTACGACTACGACGACAACGACGACGAGGACGACGACAACGACTACTACTACCACTGCTACGACTACAACTACGACGACTACGACGACGACGACGACGACCACGACCACGACGACGACGACGACGACGACGACGACGACGACGACGACGACGACGACGACGACGACTACTACTACTACTACTACTAGGCCTAAGCCTAAACCCTAAACCTAAAACCGCAAAAAGGCCATAAAATCCGTAGGACACCGGATGAGGCGGCCACGCGTTGAGCAGCGGGAGCTCCTCGGCCTGGGCACCTGCCATCTTTAGGATTTAGGATTAAGGGATTTAGGGTTTCAGGATTTTAGGGCTTATCGTTGCGTAGGGGTTGGATATGGTCCCTTCAGAACGGGTCATATAGGAAGATATAAGGACCATATGGGGTAACATTCTATGTCAGTGAACCATTTTGCGTTGGGCTTTGTAGGGCTTTCAACTTTTCATATCTTTTCATCTGGCCTTGGCAGGCCTTTTTTGGCGGGTAAGTTTCACGGGAATATGGTGAAAACCTTCGCAAATGGGTTTGGCCAGAACATTCCAAATTTCTCAGATCTGTCTATCAACATGCAGCGCATGGCTAGGAAAGAGCTACCTGAAGGCTGCCAGGAGCAACATGCTCATCATGGCATGCGGGGGAAGGTTCTTGAGAATCGGATACCTTGTGGATCCTTGCGGACTCTAGGGACACATGAGACAAGGGGATTGAGAGACTGCTTGAACCGCTCCTGGCGTCCATCTGGTGCAGAGCTGGGTAAATCATCCTATGCTCTTTGCAGACTGGCAAGGGCACCTGAGCCAACTGAGCGAACGTTGGGCATGGCTGCTGGTGGTGGATGCTGACTCGTCCTTTCTTGACAACTTTGTAGCTGTGAGAGGCTTGATGTTGTCAAGAGCCACAGCATGCTGCTGGGGCTTGAAATGTTCGACATGGATGTGTCTCTGAGCCATGGCAAAAGACTTCCAAGCACCGAAGAACAATCGACGTGACTAACAAAGTTCAGTTGAAGTGGTAAGGGTTGCACTATCTTCTGAAAGATCTAATGTGAAAATGTTCTTATCTACACTGCTGCGCTTGAGATTGCAAGCGTGGCAGGGCGCTTGATCTTCCTGGCGCCAGAACTCAAGGACCTGGGTATTACAAAGAGATCCCAGGCCTCGGTAACCGAATGTTGAGTCCTGCCCCTGCCCACTAACAGTCTATAATAGGTATATATAGTTACACTATGAACATTCTCCTACCCATTAACAATCTACAATTCATACATATATATAGCTACTGATGAAAACCACGTGCCCTGAGTGCACGTTCCTATGCTGTCTGATCCGGAGGGTCTGGATCGCATACTTGATCCGGAGGGTGTGCAACGATG